TGCAGGTGTTATAACACACACCACGCTCCGGCACAGCTCCCATTCGGAGAACCGCCGGATACCAGCAGCAGTCCCTCCCAGGCAGCCCTGACACACAATGGTCTGCCGGCCGCCCGACAAAGAGCCTCACAAACGATGCAATCAACAGCACAGCATAATTTTCAAGAAATACAAATGAGCAAATATCTAGTTTCCATGGTAACCTCAAGAGCTGGACTAGACTTTTTTGCAGATTACCAAACAGAGCTCCATTTTGCCAGCACAGCGGGAGCTGGCACCCGGGACCTCACTTGGGGACAGCAACCAGGCACTGCCACAAGAGCTCATACTCCTCAGCAATCTGCTCAAAAGCAAGTCCTAGGGTAATGCAAGCACCGCTGCAGTGATGATGTCCCAGCAGCACCCAGCGTGCTGCAGCTCCTGATCCCCGGGCAACTCTGGGCTACCCCCAGGGGTCTGCGGCTGCAGGATCCAGCCTGACCCTCAGTGACACTGGGCAACAGGGACAAGGGGAGGGTGAACACGACAGCTACCACTCCACCCTCATTAACTGCTCCAGGGGATACACGCTGCTACATACAGCTACGATTCATTACTCTCCCACGTCCCCTCAGCTTTGGCTCCGTGCCCCTCAAGGCTGACCCATCCTACAAGCAGAAACCACAGCGGGAACTGCTCTCTCGTTAGACCTGGGCTTTGTGCCGGATCAGCAGTGTCTCTGTCGATTTGCACCCAAGAATGAAAGTTTCCAGCCAAGTTACCAAGCCCATAAAAGCAAAAGCAGTTAAAAATCCCAGTCATCCTCTCTAGGTGGCTGTGCCCCTGAGCCCTGTGCCAAAGGGGGACCACCCATAGACCAACACTCCCCATCAAGGCAAGATGGTTTTCACAGAAAGTCTAGAAACCCTTAGCACAAAAGACAGCGAGACTTTTGGGGTACTGATAAGGAGCAAGCAACAGCAAAGTGGGCCCTGGCATAAGGCAGCCCTGGTGCTGAGCCAGCCCCAGCCTGGGGACCGAGGGGCAGCCAGGCTCAGCCCTGCCCAGGAGGAGCATCTCCCATCTCCCTCCTGGCTCCCGCCTTCCCGCTCATTGCCAGGCAGCAGCAGGGAGCAACTGGTGCAAGGTGGGATGGGAAACCCCCCGACAGAACAGCAGGAAGGTCTTGGTTAAGCCAATATCCACCAGGACCCGCACAGCACAGGGACAAATCCTGCTCACCGTCCTCATGCCCCGCTGCTCCATCTCTCCCTGCAGCACACGTTTGGGATGCACCAGAGCTGGGGGGGTAATGCCAACACCATCATACAGATAGGTAACAGCATTTATCATATGGTTTAGTGGTTTGTTTGGGTTTTTTTTGTGATGGACCTCACTGCCACAGCCAGTAAATGTCTATAATTTACTCACTGAGCTGCTGGAAGCCTTTTTCTTGGCCCCGAAATACTTTTACTCTGTCTAAGG